TTATTATTATTATTATTATTATTATTAGGAGTAACCAAAAGAAGGAAAGTGGTGTTGAAAATAGACTGGCCCAAGTGACCCAATAGATGTGAGTCGCCCCATCTAGGGAAGAGAGCTTCTGTGCAGTTTGTACAGGTCTAGGAGGTCACACAAAATAACTATGGGATGTGCTTGTGGATAACAGCTAGCAAACACAAAGCCTTAGGATTATTATACTTGGTATATTTTACAGGGATATCTTGTTCTTGTGTTAGTAGCATATTTACATTTTATAGTGTTTATTTTTCCATGTAAATGTTCTTAACTAGGAAACTCTGCATGAGGGAAGATGGACGACAGCAAGTTTGCATTGTTGGACTGCAGGAGTTTGAGGTCTCAGATGTACAGATTGTTAAGGAATACATTGAGAGGGGAAATGCAGCACGAAGTACAGGCTCTACTGGTGCCAATGAAGAATCTTCAAGATCACATGCTATTTTACAACTTGCCATTAAGAAGCATAGTGAGATAAAGGAATCCAAAAGACACAATGATGGAAATGAATCCAAAGGTGCGAAGGTTATTGGGAAGATCTCTTTTATTGATCTTGCTGGTAGTGAACGAGGTGCTGACACTACTGACAATGATCGACAAACAAGGTATGTTTTACTATGTTCTTTTCCTTTCCCTATTCCAAGTTATTTGCATCAAGTCATTGTAACATTTATAACAACTCATGTTTTTTATACTTATTTACCCTTTATTTGTGAATTATGATCTGCAGTGTGAACTTGTATGTACACAGGTCTTATTGATCATTTGTCAAATGCTCTATACCTTGTTTGAGTTCAATCTACATTTAGCTAGCCATATCCTCTGAACACATTGTTTAGTTGTTAGGTAGACCACAAATAAGCTTTGGCAATGGCATGCCAGTCCATTCAATGCACATCAGATGGGGGGTTTAACTATTAGATGGGTCCAAAATGAAATAAATTCAGCCACCCAGCCTATCACATTCTTTAGTCAGCAAAAGGGAACATGATATGCAATTCAATCAACAATAGTCATTGTTTGGAACTAGCATATATTCTTGTAATGTGGGAGATCTTCAAGGGGAACCACTTAAGTGGGGGAGATTGCACCGACTTTTTGAGTATATCTGTGGTATCACTCTTTTTAGACTATACTACAAATCTTTATGCTTCAATCTTATCCACTTCCACTTGCTTATACTATTGCAGGATTGAAGGAGCAGAAATTAATAAAAGTCTTTTGGCCCTCAAGGAGTGCATTCGTGCCCTTGACAATGATCAGATTCATATCCCATTTCGTGGAAGCAAACTCACGGAGGTACTCCGTGATTCCTTTGTTGGCAACTCAAGAACTGTGATGATCTCTTGCATTTCTCCAAATGCAGGGTCCTGTGAACACACACTCAATACTTTGAGATATGCCGACAGGTAGGACCGGTTTGAATGTGAATGAAAATATGCATCAATAGAAATGGTGCTTCCATTCTTCCTATTTATATTTTGAATTGATTCATAAAAGAAACTGCTGATTGAACAGGGTTAAGAGTCTCTCAAAGAGTGGGAATGCTAAAAAGGATCAGGGCCCAGGTCCTGCTAGTAAGGAATCTTCATCGGTACCATCTTTGCCAGTCTCTGTTGAGCCAGAGGATGGTTATGACCAAAACCAAGAAATGAAAGCGACAGATATGGGCAGAAGGGTTGTAGAAAAAGAGAACTACAATTCTACTGCTGATTTTGACAGACAGCCCTCTAGCATGCCTTCAAATTATCACTTCAATGGCAGGGAGGATGGTGGAATGATTTCTTGTTCTTTGGATCGGGAGAGGGTTGACTTGAGAAACACATTTGGTGGTAGTACTAGTCATAAAGTGTCCTCTATTCAAAACACAAATAATGCTCTAGAGGAGGAGAAAGTGCAAAAGGTGTCTCCCCCTCATAGAAAGATCAAGGAAGAAAAATCAGAGAAGCAGGGAAACTGGGCAAAAAGAGATGGTTCTGGATCTGACTTGTCAACTAGCTACAAGCAACAGAGTTCATATGATTCTACAGTAAACAACGTTGGAACCAAACAATATGAACCTGAGCCTCCTTGCCATGATGGAGAGATCAATGCAATACTTGAGGTAGGATGTTTGCACAAATCCCACTATAAAATTTTATTTTCTCTATTTTGTTATGTTATAATAAGGCATGTCAAAGTTTTTTTTTTTTTAATGTTGATATTCTTTCCTGAATCCGCTTCTGTAGGAAGAAGAAGCTCTAATTTCAGCTCATAGAAAAGAAATTGAAGATACAATGGAAATTGTCCGCGAAGTAAGTCTTGATTTTTCGCCCTCTCTTTCAAGAAGTTTATGCCCATATTTTGTTAATGATATTTGTCGTTTCACATGTGAACTACCAATTTTTTCTTTTTATTTTTCTGGTGACAGAACAATTGTTACGCACAATTGGTTATGTTATCCATTCAGCTTCAATCACTTATTATTAAATCATTTTGTGAGGAATTTTTTAGAATACAGTCTATAATTCTATACCCAGGTACTTTTTGAAGGCATTCAGTGGATGGGACCATGATCTTGATCTGATCCAAATCTAATACAATTAAGCGAATTCCAATCCTAAATATACTAGAAGGCCTAACATGTGGTGCCTCCAGAATCTCTCAAGGAAAAGATTAGCTTAACAGCCCCTATGTACTACCAAATGTGGTACTTCAAGCCTAACATACACAGACATAGATTAGCCAATAAAGTTCATAATTCTCTATACCCATTTCTTAACGAGCTTATTATCACCTTGGAGTCACCTTTTAGAGTCTCCTTCACCAATAGGCTCCGAATACCAATGTTTTAAAATGTGGAGGCATGAGGCGTAAGCCTCCTTAAGAGGAGGGGGATGAGGAGGGAGGAGGAGGAAGGGGAGGAAGAAGAAGAGGAAGGAGGATCCCATTTTTCTTTATGTTTAATAAAAAATCTTTATTTTCTTTTTTTCTTCCCTTCCTTTTACTTTTATTTTTCTACTCTTTATTTTCGTTCCCTTTCTTTTTTCCTTTCCTTTGCTTTTTTTCTTTTTTTTACGTCTTTTTATATGAGGTGTGTGTGAGGCGCATGAGGCGTATGCCTCTAGTATGCCTCATGAAAAAAGCGTAGGAGGTGTATGCCTCAAAGGCGTCAATGCCTCTTGCATACGCCTTCGTACGCCTCCCACGCCTTTTAAAATGCTTCCAAATACAAAGCTCTAATTTTTCTTCCTTTGTTTCTTAAAACTTTTACCCATTAAGGGCCTAGATTCCCCTCGAACACCTATGTGAAGGACAATTATTCTTACCTTTAGGCCATGCTAACCAAATATGTAGAACATTTAAAAGGCGCACCTAGGCGGATTTTAGGGTATGCACCTCACCTAGGTCCTAGGTACAGCCCTTTCAAAAGGTGCACGCCTAACGTGCCTTGTTGTTCATTCATTATTTTTTATGTTGAAAATTAAGAATTTAAGGTCCTAACATGGACTTGTTCGGGCTTGACTTGTGGGGCATGGTACAAAGGCGACTTGTAGAATCAAGAATGCAATATGTTTTACATCACATTATCAACTTGAAGTAATGAAATTAAGAAAAAAAGAGATTGTGGGTTTTACATGCTTGAAAATGCTTTATGTTTGATTTCATTATTAAATTCTCATTTGAATATACTTTACATGTTATGTTTATGTATTTTAATTTTAGACAATAGATTTTTTAAAACATTTATTTTAAAATTATGTTTATATTTTTTATTAATATTATGTTTAATATTTTTTATTTTTTGAATTTTCTAACAGTTTTTTATTTTCTTAGCATTTTTTGTATTTTTGTGCCTTGCTTCAAAAAGGCGTGTGCCTTGCCTTGCGCCTCAGGCACAAATTGGCCCTTGCGCTTTTAAAACACTAGGTTGAGGTAGTTGTTGATGAGACTCATCCAGTGGGGAAGGGGGTGTTATGTTTGTGCCCTGAATCCTTTATTGCAACCTGCTTCATGACAGGCTCTGAATCAAGTTGACAAAAAACCCAAAGGCAAAATTCGTGGTACAGACCCAGTCCATATTCAGCTAATGGGTCTGACCTGAATACGAAGAGTTATGTAGTTTGGGGGTTTTGTCTTGTATATTGTTGATTCTATAGTGGATTACTTCTCCTTCAGCCGTGGACATAGGCTATAAGTCGAACCACGCAAATCTGTGTGTTCTCTGTTTTGTATTTCTCTTTATCTCTATTTTCTCTTTATTTTATTGTGCCATTCGAATCTGTCTGGGGTTTTCTCAACAGGGGGAGTCCTACAATATGAACAAAATAGTAAGCACAGTACTGGAAGTTAGCAAAATACTAAGCTTGGGAAAAGCTGTGTAGTGGGGGTGAATTTGGAGGAGGGAGAGATCAGGGAGAGTGCTGAAGTGCTGGGGTGTGAAGTCTCGGGGTGGCCTTTGAACTACTTAGGGTTGCCATTAGGTGATAATCCTATGAGAGAGAGCTTTTGGAACCCGATGGTGGAAAGGTTTGAAAAAAGACTGGTATCCTGGAAAAAGAACTACCTCTCTCTTGGTAGGAGAACTACACTAATTAAGGCCACGCTTGCTAACTTACCCATCTTTTTTCTTGTCGGTGTTTAAAATCCCAATGAAGGTTGCTAACAAATTGGGGAAGCTAATGAGAGATTTCCTATGGGAGCCGGGAGAGGAGAAGAGGGATCACAGAGTTAGTTGGGAGATAGTGTGTAGGAGTAAGACTTGTGGTGGTTTGGGGCTTGGGAGTATTAGGAGAAGGAATATGACTCTTTTGGGAAAGTTGTTGTGGAGGTTCCCTATGGAGAAGGAGAAGCTATGGGCTAAAATAGTGGCAAGTATACATGGGCTGGAGTACAGTGGATGGGACGCTGGAATCAGAGCTAGGATCACAAGCAATTCTCCTTGGAAAGCCATTCATGACTTGCTACCAGTTTTCWYYCCTAATATCMGRTATGAYTTGAATTCCRGTAACTCCATAAAATTTTGGGAACAAACCTGGGTGGGGAGTGCCCCTCTAAAGGATCAGTTTCCTTCTTTGTTTGCTCTTTCTGATTCGAAAAATGAGCCAATCTCGTCTTTCACCACCCCATTCTCTTCCACTTCTGGGATTGGGTGGAACTTGGTTCTAAGAAGGGATTTGAGGGACTCAGACTTCGACAGTATTTCGAGCTTTATTGCACTTCTTGATAACGTTGTCTTAGACCCCACTAGGGCGGATTCTAGAATTTGGACACCTACCCCCAATGGCATATTTTCTTGTGTTTCTTTCTTTAAAGTCTTAAGTCAGTCCACCAGTCCTACTTTCCCCCCTTTCCCTGTTGATGAGGTTTGGTGCAGAGCAATAGCTCCTAGGGTTGGCAGTTTTTGTTGGGAAGCTTATCTGGAAAGAATCAACATTGGTGATCTACTCCAAAAGAAGAGACCCAATACTTGCTTGTCACCTCATCGGTGTGTTCTTTGTAAAGCGGATGGGGAGACTGGTTTTCACCTACTGGTGTCTTGCCATTTTGCGAGGTCAATTTGGGAGTGGGCTTTCTCCCATCAGACTTGTAGGGCCTTTTTTCCCCTTCTTTTTTCAAGTGGCGGATAAAAAGGGGAAGGTCTATGTGGAGAGGACTAAGGGCTGCAGTATGTTGGACACTTTTGGAAGAAAGAAACTCCAGGATATTCTCAGAAGCTGAGGGAGGAGCAGCAGATCTGAGGGCTAGCATACATATTAGGGTTGTACAGTGGCTGAAATTTTTGGAGCTTTTCACAGATTACACTGTGGATGACATGTTGAGGAAGTGGGGTGAAATTGCAAGTTGCACACAAACTAAGTCAGTAATGAGTGTGGCTTGGACCCCTCCACCTGGTGGATTCTTGAAATTAAACTTTGATGGGTGTAGTAGGGGAAATCCGGGACAATCGGGGATTGGGGGTGT